TATCGACCATGATTGTTTGACCGAGGATATCACGGTCGAGGCACTTTGAGACCTGTCGAGGTCGTGTGTGCTTATGGTGTGAGCCGTTTCGTGTGGAATGGGTACATAGATGGTACCTTTCGAGTTTTCCCCTTTTCGTATGATTAGAGGTGTGTTATACCTCGATTTGGGGAAATGAGGATTCATTGTTGTGAGCAGTGAGCCTTAGGAAGGTGCTGTGGGGCGGTCATGACAAGTCTGAGATGACTTGGGAGAGGGAAACCGAGATTCGAAGGGAGTACCGCACACCTTGTGTTGATATTCCTTGGTAATCTAGTAGTTTTATTTTCGAATTCCGAGGACGGAATTCTTTGTAAGGTGGGTAGACTGTAACGCCCCGTTCGTTTAGGAATAAATTGGATATTATTATTATTATTATTATTATTATTATTATTATTATTATTTTTATTATTATTATTATTATTATGGCATGTCTAAATATTATTATTTGTCTAATTGTGATTAAATGTCTAAATGCTTACATAAATTATGTGCCTAATTGAGTATATTAAATAAATATTATTTGTGGATTTGTTTTGAATACCAAAATACTATTTTAAATATTTTATTTATTATTATTTTATTTTAAGTCGTCAATCCGAGCCTGTGGTATTTTCGTAAGGGTTAACCGAACTCCCGGCCGAAGGCCCGCGCCCGTAGGCCGTGTTCGACTAACCCTAGCCGCCCCCTTTCCCCTTCCCTCCTTGTGTTTTTAGTAGGTGGAGTAATTATGGGCTCCTTCCTTATTCCTTGGAGATGACTTTGACAAGTATCAATTTAGGATTTTTACCATATCTTTCTTTCTTCCTCTTCAAGTATCTATCTCTCTCTCCCTCTCGCACGGTTTAAGGAAAAGAGGAGATTCTTCTTCCCCGAACCATCATCACGATAATCATCATCGGTCGCCATCCCTCGCAGAGCCGCCGCCAACAAGTCCGACGATCCTTCTCCCGGCGGACTCCGTTTTCTACTTCTCCGTGGGTCCGCATCCGACACCTCTCGCGGCCAGCAACTCCAGGCGAGAAGTTCCTCTCACGAGCAGGCCGTCTCCGTCGACCTCGAGCCGCTGCCCTGCCATCCTCGCGCTTTCAGGCCATCGCGGGCGCCTTCGCTAGCCACCGAGGCCGCGACACCGTCGTCCCAGTACGCCGGCCCTGAGAGGGCTGCCCTCCTCAACCCTCACCGGACCACGAGCAGGCCCGACGATCGTCTCGCCTTTCCCTTCGTGAGTTCGCCGACGATTTCCGCCGTGTACCACCATCATCATCCAGCGAGTACACGCAACGAGATTTCATCCGCAATCTCCGTTCCCTTGCTCGTGAGTTGTTTCCCCGTCAATCGCCTCAGCCCGGCGTGTGCTTCCGTGAACCAGCAGCGGACCGAGGTCGAGTGTGAACCGCCCGAGGTTCGTGGGTCTTATCGTTCGGGTCCCACCCTAAGGGCCTAAACGTCTCTCTTTGCGTTGGATCGGGACCTCGTGTCCGGAATGTATTGTAGTAGTTCGAGTGCCGGGTCGAGCTCGGAGGCCCTCAGCCTCGAGGGTTTCATGTCGGATATAGATCGGAAGAAAAGAAAGGAGTTCTTGGACTTCAAACCCTCTCATCCAAGTGACGTTAGGAGATGCGTTCAAGAAGTGTACGATTTGTGGTACACCTTGTTTATAGGCGACAACCCCATTGTCGATCACGAAGACGGTGTAGACAAGCTTGCTCAAATCCTACCCCAACCGTGGAGGAGTGTAGTTGTGGGAATGCGTGACGAGCACCGGAGGAAGAAACCACTCGCTTTTCTGGATCACCCTCCCTTAAACATGTTTGAAGTGGTCGCTCAACTCGGCAGAAAGTGGGAGCGTAAGGAGGTACCATTGGAAACGGAGTTCGGGTCGTACCTCGCCACTGAGAGCACCGTATCCAGCCCTAACCCCGTCTCCTCCTCAGCGGAGTACGGTAATGGGTGGGTTTCCTAGGTATTTTTCGATTGTATGCGTATTTTTGATTATATGCTGGGATTAATAAAGTTATACATTGAGTTGAGATATTATTTGCATATAAACAAAAATAGATCCTTAGGGTTTAATGTGAAACCCTTATGATCTGTTACTAACTCGTGGTTGGCT